CTTTAGTTAGTTATTAACTTATTTTTTATTATAAAAGTTTATTACTTTTATAATATATTATTTTATTAAGTAGTTTTTTATATTATATATATAATTTATTTTTAAAAATTATTACTGCCTTTTATAACTTAATAAATTAATATAATAGCTTATTTAGTTTAGTTAAATTATTAAACTATAAATTATAGGCTTAAAACTTATATTATACTTAAACTTTATTATTTAGGCCTTTTTATATATTTTAAGTTTAGTTTTAAACCTTAATTAATAATTATATTTTATAACTTAAATTTTTAAAGTTTAACTTAGTTAGCTATAGTTAATTAAGTTAAGCTATAGATTAATTTTAGATTTTAAACTAAAGGTTAGGGTATAACTCTTTTTTAATTTAGTTATTATAGCTTTACTAAACTTTTTAATAATAAATATAACTTTTATAATTATTTATTTAAATTTACTATATAAATAAAATAAATATATAAATAAATTAATAATAAAATTAGTAATAATTTATTTAATTATTTATTATTTATTATTATTTACTTTTTTAAAGAAAAATTAATTTTATTAATTTTATATTTTTTTTAATAATTTAATAAAACTAATTTAATTATAAGTAAATTATTATTAATAAAATTAATTTTCTTTATTAATTTAATAAAACTAAATTAATTAATAATTAATCTAATTTAATAAATTATTATTAATTTACAACTTTAATAATAATTATAATAAGTTAATATAAATATATTATACCCTTTTATTTATTAATATATGATTCTTAATATTTTTAATAAATTAATTAATATTATTTTGAATAATTATATTATTATTAATAATATTATTTATAATATTAAGGTTAAAATAACTAATATATATTAACTTTTAAAAGTTTTTAATTTTTTTATTTCTTTAGTTTATTAACTAAACTATTATAATAATTATTTTAGTTATTTATATAAAATACTTAAATAAGTAATTAAATTACTTATTAAATATAGTAATTAATAAAGTAATTAATAATACTTAAGTTATTTTATTAAGTATATTAAATTATTTTTCTAAATTAAATTTTATTAATAATATTAATATATATAGTTTATCCCTTAATAATAATAAATAATTAAATATATTTATTTTAATTAGGTTTTTTATATATATTTTTAAATATATAATATATTATAGTTTATAATTAATAAATAAAATTAACTTAAATATTAATAAAGTAATATATATATACTTATATTTTTAAAAATAAAAGCCTAAGTAATATATATTTAAGAAATTATTAATAACTATTTTTATTAATATAATAATTACTTTTTTAGTTATTAATAAAGTAAATAATATATATTTAAAATAAATAAAATAAATAATAAGTATTAAACTAAGTAGTATTATAAATTAATATTAAGAAAATATTAATTAAGTTAATAATACTACTTTTTATTTTAAGTTTTTTTAAGAATATATATTTATTTATAATTTATATTTTTATAAAAAAAGTAAAGTATATAATTATATAAGTATTTTATTATTAATATATAATTAAATAATATTATTTTTAAAAATTAATTTAAATAATAGTTTTTTTAATTAATATTAGTATTACTAATATTTAATAAATTTAATAAATTTTTTATTATAATCCTTAGTTATTTACTTATTTAAAAAAGTATACCTTAGGGAAGCTAAAAGTAATATTTTTAATAATAAATTTTATAATTAATAAAATAATAATATAATTTTATTTTATTAATAACTTAATATATTAATATTAAGTTTTTATAAATAATATTATTTATTTTATTATCTCTTTAAGCTAGTTTAATAATATATATAAAGAAATAAATTAATAAATTAAAAATAAAAAATATATAAAGGAAAAAATAAATAAATAAACCTTAAATATTACTTAATAAATAAATTATTTAATTATAAGTAAATAAAAAAAAAGAAAGAAAAAATAGTAATAATTATAAAATATATATATAATTACTATTAATTAATAAAGTATATAAATAATATAAAAAACTTAATTCCTTTTTAATTTATTAACCTTAGTAAACTAACTAAAAGGTAAATTATATAATATACTATACTATATAAATTTACATACTATATACTATATAAATTTACATACTATATACTATATATATATTATTTATTTATTTATTTACCCTTAATAAAAAGTAACCTTTTATTATAAATAATAAAATAAGTAATTTTAAGTAATTTAGTAAAGCTCCCCTCTTATAGTTTTAGAGACCCGCTTTTTCAGGTGATTTTATTAGTTAGAAATACTTATATAAGTAGGATTCTAGTGTTTTAATTAGCTGAAACTAAGATAAGAGTGGGTTTTTCAAAATTCAATTTAGTTTTTAAATTTTTGAAAGTTAATTATTATAGGGCTTTTGGGTATTATAATTTTCTATAAGCTAGGGAGCTTATAGTTACTAAATAAGCTATACTTAATTAAGTAGTAACTATTAAGAAAAATAGAAAGCTAAGCCTAAATAAGTAATTACTTATAAATTATAAAGTAAATTATAAAATTATAAATTAAGTATAATTATAATTAAAGTTCTCTCCTAAGTATAAAAAATAAATTACCTAAGAGCTAAAATTAAAATAATTATTATTAAACCTTTATTTAGCAGCTATTAACTAGCCTAGCTAATTTATATTTTCTTTTTTATAATTAGTTTAGGTTACCCTTTTCTGCTTTATTTATTCTTTAGGCTTTAGTAAACCTTCTTTATAGCGCTAATAGTATTAAGATTAGTTTATTACTTTTATATAGGGTGCGTTATCTTATTAAGTAGTCTTTTATATTACATACGCAATTTATTTTTAAGGATTATTACTGCTTTTTATAACCTAATAAAATAATTAGCTTATTTAGTTTAATTAAGTTATTAAATTATAAATTATAAGCTTAAAGCTAGTTATATTATACTTAAACCTTATTATTTAGGCCTTTTTATATATTTTAAGTTTAATTTTAAACCTTAATTAGTAATTATACTTTATAGCTTAAGTTTTTAAGGTTTAATTTAGTTAGTTATAGTTAATTAGGTTAAGCTATAAATTAATTCTGGATTTTAAACTAAAAGCTAGGGTATAGTTTTCCTTTAACTTAGCTATTATAGCTTTACTAAACCTTTTAATAATAAATATAACTTTTATAATTAAAGTTATAAAGGGTTATAAAAAACTATAGGGAATAATTAATTAAAAATAGTTATAGTTAATACTATAGGTTAATTATAAAGTTTTAAAAAGTACTAAAATAATTATTATAATTATAATTATAATATTAATAATAGCTATAGTTTTATACTTTTATATTATTTTATTAACTTTTTTAATAATTTTCTTAAATTTTTTACTTAACTTAAGGTTTTTAATACTTTTAAGTTAATTTAGCTTATATTTTACTTTACTTAACTTTAAATTTTTTTTTAATTTTTTTTTTTAATTATTAATTTATAATTTTATTAATTATAAATTTAATTATTTACTTAATTATTTTATTATATATTTTAAATTAAGGTTAAGTTATAATTATTACTTAGGAGCTTTTATAATAATTATTTTTTTAATAAAAAGTAATTAAAGTATATAATTTTATTAAGTAATTTTTTATATTATATATATAATTTATTTTTAAGTAAAAGTATTATTACTTTTTATAACTTAATAAAATAATTTTATTTAATTTAATTAAATTATTAAATTATAAATTATATACTTAAAACTTATATTATATTTAAATTTTATTATTTAAGCCTTATATATATATATATATATATATATATATTTAAGTTTAATTTTAAACCTTAATTAATTATATTTTATAACTTAAATTTTTAAAGTTTAACTTTATTAATTATAATTAATTAAGTTAAATTATAAATTAATTTTAGATTTTAAATTAAAAACTAAGGTATAGCTTTTTTTAACTTAATTATTATAATTTTACTAAGCTTTTTAATAATAAATATAATTTTTATATTTTATAACTTAAATTTTTAAAATTTAATTTAATTTATTATAATTAATTAAGTTAAGTTATAAATTAATTTTAAATATTAAACTAAAAGCTAAAGTAATTTTTTTTTTAACTTAATTATTATAACTTTATTAAATTTTTTAATAATAAATATAACTTTTATAAATATAACCCTTAAGTAAAAAAATATATTAAAATAAATTAATTTTTTATAAAAGTATTCAAATTATTAATTTAATACTTAGGAATATATAATATTTTATTTTTATAATTTAAAATAAAAGTTTAAGTTTATTTTTTTTTAAAAAAAATAAAGTTTTTAATTTAATTTTTATTATTTTATTTTAAAATATATACTTTATAATAAATAATAATTATTATTATAAAAACTTATAACTTTAATATTATTAATATTATAAAAAAGGTTTACTAAAGTTTAAAAAATAAATAAAGTAAAAAAAATAACTTAAATTAATTATAAAAAACAAAATATAAATAATAAAATTAATTAATAATTACTAAATAAAAGTTTAATAATAATTATTTTAATTTTAGTTCTTAAGTAATTTATTTTTTTTTTACTTAAGAGAAATTATTTTATTATTCTATTTTTATATATTTATTTTAAAAATTTTTATAATAATATTTATAAAAAAATCATTTTTAATTACTTTTAATTTACTTTAAATTTTATTATAAAAATACTATTTAAATAATTAAATTATATTACTAAAGTAAATTTCCTCTTTAACTATTCCCATTATTTACTTCACAAAGTAACTAAATACTAAAGTAACTAAATACTAAACTCCTAAGCTACCAACCTACCAAGCTATACTATTTAATTTATCCAAAAGCAATAGTAACAACTGGCATTCCCCTGTTCGTTATGTCTCACAGGGGCGTTGGAACTGATTTATTTTCTCCCCTTGCCTTATATTTCCGAGGCGATGACTTTCCAACAGAAAGGAAGGGTGAGAAAACCATGATTGGGCAGCATGGGTGGCTCGAGTCCACAGAGCAGACCCTGTACGATAAGAATAAGCAATCGCCCCAAAAGAAGACGCGGATCTTAGATGGCATCAGAAAGATCGCCAAGGATGTGGTAAGTGGCTAACTTCATTGGACGGCGCTGAAGAACGAACTTGGCTGATGGTGGCTAGTCTGAGCTACATCAAACCCGACGAACTCGGCCAGTTGCAAGGGGAACAGTGGGTACACATGCTGCAAGTTCACTGGATCCCAGAGAGCAAAGCCTTTTATACTGCGAGCTCGAGTTCAACCTTACAACGGCTCTAAATATATACGTCACTGAAGAGCTGGACAAGGGCCATCTCTCCCCTGACAATCTCAAAAAGGTATCGGATGAATGGCATCAAAAAGGTCACCACAAAGTAATCGGCTTCAGATATGATTTAGAGACACAGCTGGAGCTTGTCAGTCTTCATATCAATGACTTTAGCTTCCATGGTCGTCGACAAGGCAACACTACCGAGATTGCGCTTCTGCTCAATGAGATGAAGATGAATGCGCGTAATATGCGTGTCCGAACGTTTTGCCAACCAGATTCCACTATTGCAAAACACTTAGTTGACTCGCAGTCGCTCTTCAACTTGATCAATGCTTCAACCAGTCAGCAAATTGCACTAGCAGAGATAGCCCGTTTTTTTAAGATGCTACTAAAATAATACTACTCTGATACCCCCCCCCCCCGCTAGTATTGGACGAGTGCTACACAGTATCGAAAAAAAAAGGCCCCTACCTACCTCGTAGTTCTTCTCACTCAGGGTAGCCTGAATTATGTTTCAAATTCACGTATAGTCATGATGGCCAAGCAAGAAGGATCTCCTGGGTCGCTGACCTTGGACGATTTGGTTATGGGGGTACGTGTACATATGAACGATAGGGCTTTGACAAAATATTATTTCTTGATTGCAATATTTCATTTTTGACTTCCGCCAGGCGTTGATGAGATTGGTACTAATTTCATAGCAGACAAACACCAGCAGCATTACCTCGAAACGCAGTGTTGAGCGTCTGTATCACTCGAAGGAAACCCCTTTCTTCCGCTACTTTGTTCCAAAGTTTCAAAGGAGAGCCCCCCTAATCAATAGAGGCTATTGGCTGCGTCTTCGGGCAATTGATACCATAGTGTACAAATTTCTCACTAAAGAGACGGAAGGGGAAAAGGTCATCATCAATCTTGGTTGTGGCAGGTAAGTGTTTGCATGTATATGCTTCGTTTGCCTGCAATAGCTAACATACTCAAGTGATGTCTTACCATGGCAATGCCATGCTCGTTATGATAACCTAGGCAGCGATGTCCTCTTCGTTGATGTGGATTATCCTGACCTCATGAAGAAGAAGCGAGCTATAGTTTTACAAACTCCAGAGCTGCGAAGCCTTCTGGGGAATGACTTCACCCTCGGTGATGAAGACAAAGACGACCTACTGCTGCGCAGCCATAAATATTGCCAGATTGGCTGCGACCTTCGACAGCTTGACAGGTTGCGTATGACTTTGGAATCAGTTATCAACCTTCCTGAGTGTGCCATCCTGTTCGTGGCAGAAGTGTCAATTACCTATATGGACACTCAATCTGCCGACTCTCTAATCCAGTGGGGAAGCACTGTTGGTCGAGGTTTGTCTAAGCACTTCCAATTTCACAATAATGACTTGCCTTATCCTACGAGAGTAGACATAATGCTGATTGTTAACTAGAAAATAACTTCTGCCTCCTGGAACAAATTCTACCTTATGGAGGAAGGCATCCTTTTGCTCAGCAGATGCTTGGTCATTTTGTTAAGCTGGGTACTCCTCTGCGCTCTGTTGAGCAGTATCCAACAATTGAGAGCCAAGCCATTCGGTTCCAGGACCGCGGGTGGCATCGTGTCGAAATAAAGGATCTATGGCAAGCATGGTCAAGCGAGGAGTTTGTGAGCGACTCAGAACGAACTGGCCTTGACAACATCGAACCCTTTGACGAGTGGGAAGAGTTTATCCTATTTGCCCGCCATTACTCCATCCTTCATGCATCCACTGACTGTAGCCAAGGCTCATTGCCTCAAACGTCTACCTTGGCCGCCAGAGAGAGTGCGAAGACGTTCGCAGGCTTGAGCGTCGAAATAATAGGTGAATCCACGAAGAAATCTACAAGGCGACGGTTTGGAAATAGCATGATTCTAAGCAATGGACTTGGGCAGCGATATGCTCTTAATTTGCTAGGGATGAGTCTCAACAGCAGAGAATCTACTTATGATATCTTCTCACTTGATGGGCAGCATGGGACACCGCCGCAGTTACACCCTTCGGGACCACCTGCTCGCATGTGCTTTACACTGACAGACCTAGGAGAATATGGAATTATGCTGGTTGGTGGTCGTACGTCGCCCTCCTGTGCCCTATCGGACTGCTGGCTCTTTGAAAGGGGTACTGATCCGCGTTGGCGTACGATGCCGCAATTGCCCGTTCCCTTATTTCGGCATTCCGCTCTTCGACTAGGGAATTCATCTCTTCTACTAATATTTGGTGGCAAGAAAAGCTCATCACAGCTCTCAGACGAATTTTTCCTTTTCAACCCACAAAGAGCTTGTTGGCAAAAATGTTCCGTTCTGGGACCTGCTCCTGATTCCTGCTTTGGCTCAATCGTTTGCAATTCCATCTCCGCGCCAAGCACCCCAGGAGTATTTCGTGGCATATTAGTTGGAGGGATTTCCCAAGAGGGACGTTTTGCTACTAAGCAGTATATGTGGGAAATAAACGTCTACAATCCTGAGGTATGCTTCATCACCATTTTGCTCACCGTTTGCATTGACACCCCCAGATTGTGAGCTGCATGTTACCCAAAGACCGAGTGCCTCTTCTTCTTCTTCTTCTTCTTCTTCTTCTTCTTCTTCTTCTTCTTCTTCTTTATAACTAACATGTTTGCTAGCCAACCATTTCCTTTTCCCCCATCACAACCAGCAGCTCCAACAGTCGGCTCATCTCTTCCTTTGGTGCTCAAACTGTTCATTTAGGATCGTCTGTGATTATATGCGGTGGTATGGGAGCGGATCCGTGCCTACATGGCCAGACGATTACCGTCGTTACCACTTCTACAGAAGGGTTTGAAGTTGAAAATTTGTCCACCCCTCAAAATGATGAGCCCATGCCGTTCATGATTGGCTCCTCAATTGTGCAAGATGGGTCTTCTCTTCTGGTGTTTGGTGGGGGGGCGACATGCTTCTCGATGGGGACGTTTTGGGAGACGAATATTTACAAAATCCGGTTGCCTGACCATGTTTTGAAGGCTACTGATTCTACTTCGCGACTATACAGTTTGTCTCATTCTACCGTTGATCTTATTGGATGCCGAAAGTTTTCGGCTACTTCCACAAATCCAAGTCCAGGGGGTGCAAATCACCTGGACAATCAAGATCAGAGGGCGTCTCTAACTACAGTACCCCGAATACAACTTGAGTCAGCCGAACAGTTCCAAAGGATTGTTGGTCAAGGGAAACCGGTCATTTTCAAGAGTTGTACTATCGGAGAGTGCCAACAGAAATGGACCCCTGACTTCCTTGTATGTCAAATTGGCGCAAATGAAAAGGTAAGCTGACATATATTCCAAATCCAAGGTCTGAAAACGAGTGAACAACCTAACTACCTTAGTTTGTGATACACGAGTCTCATGAAGACACGGGAGTGTTGGACTTTAACAGCAAGAATTTTTCATATGTGACAGACACGTTTGGGAGCATCATGAGCAAGCTGCAATCTGGAGCCCGGGTTTATCTACGAGCTTTGTCTCGAGATAAGCCGTCTGAACTGCCAGCCAAGCTAGAAGAGGATTTCCCACATTTGGCAGGAGATTTCACCCTGCCACCAGAAATGGCGTATATCAAAGATCACTTGTTCAGCTCTGTCTTGAGATTATCAGGACGGGCGAATATGTGGCTACATTACGATGTAAGTTCATCTGCAATTTGCTAACTCGCTATCACATGCCTTTGGGCTAACGGGATACCTCATACAGGTTATGGCAAATGTCTATGCGCAGGTGGCCGGGGTTAGGAAAATGATTTTGTTTCCTCCCAGTGACGTGAAGCACCTGTCTTTCGCCCCCGGTGCCTCTAGCTCAAGCGTGAACGTTTTTCAAGCGTTAGAAACTTCTGCATCTTCACTCCGGGCAACACACCCCCAGGAAGCTGTAATCCATCCGGGAGATATTTTACTATTGCCGGCTCTCTGGCTCCACACAGCTGCTCCGATAACCGACATGAGTACTGCAGTCAATGTTTTCTTCCGTGACCTGGGACAGAAAGATCATTACTCTCCTGGTCGAGATGTGTATGGTAACAAGGACCTTGAGGCATATGAGAAAGGAAGGCAAGCTATTGCCCGGATTGCGAAAAGCTTGCAGCAGCTGCCGTCTGCTGCGAGAGAATTTTACCTTTGTCGACTTGAGGATGAGTTACGACTAGCTACCGAAAATTAGAGTATATCTATTTTGAATCAGGAAAAAAATCAGCTTGTTGTGGGCAACTTCCATTCCCCCTCTTACTGAGGTATTGGCTTGCATCCATACTTTTGCCGTATAGAAATGATTTAGCCTTCGAGAGGTGAAGACCTACGCAGATAAGGTGCTGGAATACTTTCTTCCTTACTCTATGAGCCACTCTTCAATATTTATCCCAATACCTCTCCCTATGCCTCGTATGACTTCCCATCCGACATTAATCCTCCACTTACCGGATCTATCCATAATGTCTCCTGTGCCAATTCGTATAAGAAGCCTCAGGCTGGCTAAAGTGGCTAGAGCCATACCAATGTCGCCATCTGGGCCTGGCAAGACGGCTGCAGAGTCGATCCACTCTATTCTCACTGCTTCAAAGATTGCCAACAGCCGCTCTAGAATAAAGGCATGCGCTCCAAGTAATTTACGGGATATTTTACGCTGCTTATTCCGATTGTTTGCTCGAATAGCGTTGGGACCCGGACGTCGGCGCTTGCGACCATTGAAAGAAGTAGAGAATAGGCTGATATCGTGTCGGACAGCATTGTGAGAAGCAAGATACGCTGAGAGCAAAAGCACTCTCGCGGTAGTCGGTAGCAAGGCGGTTAATCCTGCTAGAGGCTGTGAAGTTGGTGTAGTTGATGACGAGGATGTAAAGGTAAAGCCTCTAGTTACAGGTTGCCGGCTTTTATCAATGCTCATGCCGGATTCTGTAGTTTGAGACGACACAATCTTGGGATTTAGAAATGCCTCGTCCTGGAAGAAAGGTCTCGCCGCAATGAGAAGTTTTGAGAATTGTTGAGGAGTGTAAGTGTCAGCTAAAATGGGGGCTACAAAACGAGGCCAAAGAGTGTGACAGCTGTTCTTGAAAGAAGGTAAGGACCGTCCGGCAGATTGAGCCAAAGAATCATGAACCGCAGCGCAAAATCTGGTCCACAGATTTGCCACTTCTGGGTCTTCACGTATCTCTTTTTCTGCTGTTGAAGTCACCCTGGAGATAGGGGGTGGAGGATCCAGTGATAGGATCTGGATTAACTCAGATTTGGTATATGGCGGGAAGTAGAGATATGAAGTTGGACAAGATCGAAGAAACCCAGCTGGCGGAGTCGTAACGATGAAAATGCATGTGAGGCACGGAATCTACAGGCTTTTTGTTAGCAGATACTCGCATGGGGGTTTCTTCTAAAATCACAAAGCTTGATTGACTCACGGTTTCGCATAATCTCGCCAATGCTGGCATCAGGGTTGGTGGGGGGTCCCTTTGCTTGTCCATTCCATCTAACACCAAAATGAAATGCGTCAATCCATCCTTCAACTGATGCTCATCAAATATGGCACCCAAAGATGCAGCAAGCTGTGCCAGTGTTTCACATCGTTGTGATCCAACCTCGCCATCACCATTCCCGCTCCATGCTCTTAGTGCATTGGTCACTACAGAAATGATGCTCTCGAAGAAATGACGTCCAGATATGCATCGAGCTACATTAATTGTTGCGTGAACGAGGGCAGGAGCCTGATTAGGCACTGCTTTGCTGTTATGGGACAGCTGTACGAGTAATTGCTTCGTGACGCTGGATTTCCCTGTTGCTTCGGAGCCGTGAATTACAAGGTTCCGACAGGGTGCGGCATCTGTCTAGTTGATTATAGGATGTTAGCCATAGGTCTCTCGCTCTTGCTCTTGTTGCAGGAGCTGGAATGGGCATACGTGAAGTAAAGAGGCCAGTGAGCGTATTTGGCCTTCTCTACCAGGAAATTGGCGAAGTAGAGGGGCCAGAATCATCTCATCTGGGAGCTGGAACACGAGTGATGCCATTGAGATGCGTTGTGAAGGATAGAAAGGCAATGGTGTTTAGTATGACGCGATTTGCCAACGCATTTACTGCGTTCAACGTCGTGCGGCCTTGGCAAGGGTCATCCAGCCCGTAACATATTGATGGCTTTTAGACTAGAGTATTCGAAGGAACAGTGACCAGCATCGAAACAAAACAAAACACGCCTGCTGAGATGAGTTAATGACTTGGGGAGCATGACCTTCTAGGCAAATCTTTTGTAGAACCAAGCTCGTTGATTGCACGCGTGTGCCCCATAAGTACCCGTCAAGGAACCATTATCTATTCCAGTGACATCCCAGTTCGGTGCTACTAATGCATGAACCAGTCTACTATAGCTACTGTCAGTGGTGTATTATGTAATTATTATATAAAAATTATAGTATTTACTTAGCGCCTTGTTTCTTTAGTGTAAATATGTAACTTTTATTATTATATTTAAACCCTAAATAATTATATAATATATATTAATTAATTATTAATTTCTATAATTATATTATAAATAATAAATATATAAATATATAACTCTTTTAAATATAAAAAAAAATTACTTAAAAAAATTAATTATAAAAAACCTTTATATATAATAACTTTTAATTAATTACTTTATAAACTTTTTAAATAATTTTTTTAATTCCTTTACTTAATTTAAAGTTTTTAATATTTTTTAGTTTATTTAATTATATTTTACTTTACTTAATTTAGCTTATATTTTACTTTATAAAAAAATTACCTAAGAACTAAAATTAAAGTAATTATTATAAAAAGTATATTTATTATTAAGAAATTTAGTAAAATTATAATAATTAAATTAAAAAAAAGTTATATTTTAGTTTTTAATTTAAAATTTAAGTTATATAATATAAAAATTATATTTATTATTAAAAGGTTTAGTAAAGTTATAATAATTAAGTTAAGAAAAATTATATTTTAACTTTTAGTTTAAAATCTAAAATTAATTTATAATTTAAATTATAAAATATAATTAATTAAGGTTTAAGATTAAACTTAAATTAATTTTAAGAAAATATATTAATATATATTATATATTCCTTTTATAATAGAATTAATAAAATAATTTTATTTTATTTACTTAAATTATTAAATTATAAATTATAATTTTAAAACTTATATTATATTTAAACTTTTTTATTTAGGCTTTTATATTTATATATATTTAGTTTAATTTATTAAGTTATAAAAAGTAATAATAATTCTTAAAAATAAATTATATATATAATATAAAAAATTATTTAATAAAATTATATACTTTAATACTTTTTTTATAATATTTAAAATTAAGAGAAATAATTATTATAAAAGCTCCTAAGTAATAACTATAACTTAACGTTAATAATAAAATAACTAAGTAAATAATTAAATTTATTATTAATAAAATTATAAATTTATAATTAAAAACTTTAAAAAAAAACTAAAGTTAAGTAAAGTAAAATATAAGTTAAATTAACTAAAAAGTATTAAAAACCTTAAGTAAAAAAAATAAGAAAATTATAAAAAAAGTAAATAAAGTAATATAAAAGTTTTTTTATAATTAATTTTTTTAAGTAATTTATTTTTTATACTTAAGGAAAAGAATTATAAAATATAATTATTAATTAAAGTTTAAGGCTAAACTTAAATATATATAAGCTTAAATAATAAAGTTTAAATATAATATAATTAACTTAAAGTTTATAATTTATAATTTAATAACTTAATTAAATTAAATAAATTAATTATTTTATTAAATTATAAAAAATAATCTCTTTTATATATAAATATAATAAACTAGCCTTATAGTAACTATAAATAAGTATTTAAATAAATAAAATTATTATTCTTAAGGAAAAAAAAATATACTAAGTATATATAAATTATACTTTAATAAATACTTAACTAATTATTCCTTAGAGTTATCTTAAGTTTAAGTTAAACCCTTAGTAAAAGGCCTTAGAAATTAAGGTTATTATTAATCTAAGTTTAATTTAAATTTAATTTAAAATTAAGTAAATATTAATTTAAGTATAGCCTAAATTTATAATATATTTTTTTTATATTATTTTTTTTAAATATATTTAAGTTAATTTTTTTTTATAATTTAAGTATAATATTTTATATTATTATATAAATAAAATATTAAATTATTACTTTATTTAAATATAATTTTTATAAATATTATAATATATATATATATATAAATTATTTTATTTTTATTATATATATTTTTTATAAAGCTTTATTATATTAATTTATACTTAAGTAAGGTTTTAGTAAAAAAATTTATTTTTTTATATAAGTATTATTAAATTTTTTATATACTTTTACTTTTTTATATATAAGCTTTATATAAGCTTTTTTTACTTATTATAAATTTTTATATAAACTTAATATTTATTTTACTTACTAAAATTTTATTATTATTACTTATATTAATTAATTTAATTTAACTTATATTAACTTTTTTATTATACTTAATTTATTTTATTAATATATTATTATAGTTTTATTTTAAAATTAATTAATTTTTTATAATATTTAGCTTTACTTTATTTAAGTATATTATTAATATATATTTAATTAAAAAAAATTTTAAAAATAAATTTTTTATATTTTTAATTATTCTTATATATTTTTATAAATAATATATTAACTTTTTAATTATTTTTAATAATTAAATTTAATATATTTTTAAAGTAAATATAAAATATATTACTTATTATATTTAATATTATACTTATTTATAATCAAATAAACTTTTTATAATTAAGTTATAATTATATTATACTTTATATAAGCTTTAAGTTAATATTAAGGCTAAAAAAAATTATATTATTATATTTATAATAAAAAATAATAATTTTATAAAAAATAATAAAATAAAATTATTTTTTACTTTTATATAACTTAATTAAATTTTTAAAAAAGTTTTAATTATTATTTATATAATTTTTATTTATACTTACTTTATATATATTAACTTTTTAATTAAAAATAATTTTATTATTAACTTAATATAATTTAATATATTTATATTTATTAATTTAGCCTTTAATACTTTTATAAAGTATATATAAGCTATATATATAATATAACTTTTTAAAGTAAGTTTTTTTTTTTACTTATACTTAACTTATATTTTAATAAACTTTAGTA